ATTGTCACTACACTGACAAGTACAGAGCAATGAAATTGACTCTCTACATTTAACCAATGCCCTTGCAGAGCAGTGGGCTGCCATTGTGTGGCACCTGGAGACCTATAGATTCATTGGCTTTAGAAAGAATTGAGTTTAGCTAAATCATCTTGAGAATTTCATTGCTTCTAGATGGAGACATAACTGTTTAAATGTAGCAGAAGAGATAGCACAAAATCAAAAGTTCAGGGAGAGCACACATCAATAAAGATTTAAATACTCCCTGCTATTGTGACAGTACGGAAGCTGAGAGCCGTTGTGTCCCTCTGATAGTTTTTCACAAAAGTTTTCTCAAGAAAACAAGTTAATTTTCTCATTATTTAAAGATAAAAAGTCATTTTCTCATCATAACGAGATGATTGGTGTGTGTTAAAACTGATTACATCCTTCAATACCACAACAGCGGGAGAGGATTCATAGGTATAAACCATGGCAGGCTATGTGTAATTCTGTTACTAATACTGTGTTTATCTCTTAAGTAACAAGACGATGTTGTTGGTTTGATGATTTGCTTCCACTTCTGATTCATAAGCAATAAACCTATGCCTCAGACGCCTTAGCTCATGTTGTTTTTGAACTTATTTTCAAAAGCTGCCATTAATACTGCCTTTCCTGTAGAACCAAGAAGCCCTTAAAAATAATGTGTCTTATAACAGAGAAGCCTTAAAGAACTTTGGTATTAAAAGCATCACACCTGATTACTATCAGAAGAAATTCACCAACCAGAAGCAGTCATTAAAATCTGTGATCTAAAGCTTTGAATGTTGAACAACAGTGAACCTTCCCAACAGTACTCAGTTAGTCCCAAGAGCTCATTGGTGACTCAACCACGAGGCTCCAGAGAAGCCTTGTGGGTCACAGTGGCCAAAGTTAAGTGTTCATGATTCAACAATAAGAAAGAAGCTGGGTAAAAAATGAAATGAGGAAAAGAACAATACTGTAATATATTTTGAACAAAATATTACAGTTTACTTAATAATTCAAAATCTAAATGCTCTTGAATTATTAAGAGATGGTTGAGGTTTGACACTCACTTCAATTGATGTTCTATTCATCTGGTTTTGCCCTTGTAACTTATCTTCAATGGTAGAAATTACATCCACCGATGCTTCCAAGTTGGCATAACCAGGTAATTTTGATGTCGTAGTGATAGTCTCAAACTCATGAAGTACTTCTGCAGCATTATCTTTCAATTCACCAAGTCCAATGTCACTAATCTGGAAGACAGGAACAAGAAAAGGTTATTATTGTGTGATCATCAGCAACTCATTTAACCAGCAGACAGATATGACAATAATTTAAACTAAATATCTTTTGTCAAAACTTTTATTCATTGGACAGTTTTATTAATGTTGGAAAAAATAACTATGAAGCTCTTAGCAAGCTTCTTCAAAATGAAGTTCTGAACAGCGATAGAAAGTTAAGTTCACGTACTCTGGCTTTTTCCAGCACATTGTTGAGGTCCTTTTCAATACATTCTGAAACCTCCTCATCCCAAGTTGCAACACCATTGCTGAAAGGATTATGAAAATGTTAATGAAACTGTTTAACACACACAACCACCCCAACACACACACACACACAC